GCCTCCCCATCAGTAGTATCACCGTTACACGGGTAGCCAGTGCCGCCGTTGACTTACATTGTCACCATAAGTCAGTGAGCGCACTCTCAACCTTGCTTAATTATCTATCGATCATTGTCCAGGAGTTGGAATAGCACGCTGTCACTGAGAATGGGTTCCAATGTTCTGAGTCAAACCTCTCTATTTGAAACCACAAGACCAGACACCTCAACCGATCTTGTGAAAAGAATTCCGTTGTTGTTTCTCAACTTTTCATTTATACTCCACTGGGCCACTGTCTTTTGGTTTAGGTGACCTTGAGTGACTGAAGTCAGTCCGAAATGGCCGTTGCATCCGACGCCTAAGATAACCAGTGTTCAAACTGAATCTCACTAGCAATTCCCTTATCAGTTGTAGATAGGTCGTAAAATTTGGGGCCAGGCACAAAAACGTTCATCTATGTTTTGCCATGTATCACACCTGAGAAGCTGCACACCTGTCTACTTGGATTACCCGGAAATGTTCCGCCGAACTGTCACAAACTGAACTATCATTGTGAAGCTAGACAGGAGTCATATCCCAGGTCGCTTCATTTTACCATCCGTTCGGAGGGAGCGGAATTTTGGTAGAACATCCCGCGCTGGTCGCTTCGAAGTGGCTATATCAAGCCATTTTATTGTCCGATAAGGGCAGACTCTATCGCCGCGTCATCCCACTGTGGATCCATCAATTTGTCTGCTCCTTTGAAGACAGCTACACCGGGGTGAAACGGCGGGGTGATCGTAAAATTGCAAATTTGTGTATCTACCTTTTGAAGTAAAACTGGATGGTAATCTCACGATAGTACGAAAAAACAGTATAACGTGACAGACTGAACGCAGTCACGTGACTTATCTCTTCAGCTGTTTACATACAATCAGAACTACGGATTTAGGACAGAATACTGGGGAGTAAAATATTACAGCAAGTATAGGTCATTAGATCCCGGAACAGGCCGGATAAAGGACGACACTATCAAGGAAACAAAATTTTAGCTACGAATTTAATCTGTTTACACAAATTGGGTTTTAGACGCCGTGGAGCCATTAATTCAGAAAAGCGGAATCGAAGGCTGTTTTTCTGACAGTATATAACTTGGAATAAATCTTTTGATTCCCTTCATTCGTTGCACCCCAAAAAGTAGCGAGCGATCGCGTCCGACGAGAATTTCTTTAGAAGTTCCTGTAGATAACCGTCTCTAGGTTCTTCCGACGTGCTTGCTACCGGGAGTAAATTGAAAAAGCCGTACACAGCAGGACGTAAGCCAAGAGTGTAATCCGTCTAATTTGGTTCCCATAAGTATGGGTCGTGTTTTGTTGGACGCCATCAAAGTCGCAACGTTGAATATTCTTGTGAGAGCCTGACTCAATCGACGCCGATCTCGTCTATCAAGGATTTGGCGTTTTGGCATATTTTCATGGTCTTGAGTCTAGAGTAGACGTTTTGCCTTCTCTAACGCCTACCTGCGGAGCCTCAAGAAAGGCAAAGCAGGTCATGGGCTGTTAATTAGTCTTCAGCAACCTTATGAGTAGTATGTTATACCTATAGACCGTGCATTGTGATATCTTGAATACTGGACCAAATGAAACATGAGCTCAACTGGTGCAGCACATTCAGTTGCGAAAGGATATCATGACCGAGTGGTTCGGATGGAACTCATGTGAGTGCATTTCACTACCTTTAGGTCAATTCATCAAGCACAACTGGGGAGAGCTGATTTGCTAGGATTGTAACTATGTTCCTTTGCAGAAGGCTGAGAAGTGCGAGCTCTGTTATCAAAACGCTTTGTACAAATGGATGTCGACCTTTCTTTTGGATGAATGACGTAGTATGAGAGGAAGTTAGTGGAGTTCCTGCACAGCAGGAGGGACGAGTGAACATAGCTCTCCACGACTTAGCAAAACCGTAAGCCCAAACGTGAACTGAGCAAACCAGGAACGGTACGCAGAATATTGATAGTTCCAATGTTCATCCACCAATGTCTAATTTTCACGTGATTTTGGTCATTTACTTTACTGAAACTTTGAGCCGCAATCTTCGTTCTGAGTATGTGGTGTCTTTATCTAATCTCGGCGTCAGACAGCATTTTTATCCTGAGTGGGAACCATTTCCGTGTAACAAGATCTCATTTTTGGTTTGCTATTCGGATGTGGAAGAATAAAGAGGAGCTGGAAAACTGGAATATCTACTTTTTGCGTGCTACTGATCAGCTAATGACATCTCGGCATGGGAATCGACTTGGTTCATGTGATGGAGGGATGCCAAACACTGGAAGGCACACATGAGCGCCCGAGGCATCCTTCTGAGTGTATAAACACTGCCTGTTTGTTGATAGACAGAGAGTCACTTTTTCTGATGTCGGCTGACTCTTAGTCCTTGTTGAACATAAATGACAGGCGGTTTCCAAGTAGATTTGACTTGGAGTCCTCTGGCACGGGCTTCAGAAAAGATGATTGGCTTGACAGCGGAATTAGATCCCACAGGGAAGCACCTGTCATTTTTCGGAAGTCTGACTGACATGTGGAAGATGAACAGCACACGATTAGTTTATATTTTGATGAAATCGTGCCGTGAAACCAACAAAAACTGAGAGAGAGTTACATACAGATATCAGACGATGAAAGAGCCAGTGACAAGTTTAGGAGCATGTGCAAAACAATCAAACTATTTGGGCGGTTAGAAAACTGCTGCAGAAGATGGGACATAGAAGGTAGCAAACTTGATCAACAAGTATCTTTGAAAAATTGTTCGTTTTTTTTGTAAATTTTCCTCTTACTGGCTCGGGTTTCACTTCACACCGACGCTTTCATGCTGGCATAGTACAAATTGTAGGGTCTGTAATCCGTTGTCACATATGCCATTCTTCCTGAACTTGAACCACACTTTGTAACTGTCGTACATATTGTATCAGGGCGTTTGTTTTAATGTTACGAATACACATTTTTCCGGTGCGACCTGCTGACTTCTTGCTGAACGAGCGTATTTACGCTCCGTTGAACTGTTTGTTGACTGTTGGACCAGTGGGACTAAATCTCTGTGTTTGTGTCAACTGTTGAATGTCACAAAATATATCCCTGTGACATTTTTTAGCCGTGAATAATTTTCCTACCGTGGAATATATCACGCACGCGGAACCATCTGTGGGAAATTCCGACAAGTGAATATTTCCTTTCACAGCCAGTTACTGCATTTGGATTGGTGTAGTGGACTATTGGATCTACACATTCGTGAGTCCCTATTTGACTACTCATTCCTTTCCTATTGTGATTTTGTGATTTTATATTGGTTACTTTGCTTGTTAATTTATCCGAACACGCTGATAAGGTCCTAGTCCGCTACAAAATCCACAGAAATCAAGTTCTTTTTGGGTAGATATAATATTCGAAATAATGTACTCCTTTCAGGGATTGAATTAGAGGAAAGTGCCATTGTGTACTATATTCCACCAACATTTCCATAAGTAACTATATCTTGATGAAGGAAACTACTCACAATGTTGCTGAAAACTCTTCAACAGCCCATGACCGGTTTCGCCCTTCTTGAGTCTCATCAGGTAGGCGCAGTCCCCGAGTTTCCATCAACCTTATGTTCTACATGGTTCAAGATGTCCTGGATGTGTATGCCATATGAAACACCTAAGTTGCACTGCTGATCAATCTCGCGTCATCACTCCAGGTGGGCGTGCAGCAACGAATACTGAGAGATCGAGACAAGCAGCGTTGTCTCTTGAACTCAAATCAAACTTGCTGTCGTATTGGATTGTAAATGTTCGATTTTCCAGAGCGCTATTTCCAATTATTTGAAAAGGGACATAACACAAGTCGGTCCGTTGAGTTAGCACTTTTAAAGGGTCTGCTTTCTAGGTTCCGAGCTCCAGTGGTTAGCTGATGGAGGCGCAGCTTATACAGGCATGACATCACGTGACCAGCGTGAGCCTCAAAGTGTTCCTGTCATCGATTGTTAAACAGATGGATGCCAAGCTATTTGCCCAGCTTCGCAGTTTGCTTAGCCGCCAGTCGAGCATCCATCATCATCAACCGCGCCCCGAAGATTCGTGATTTGCATCAAAATATTTGTAACCTCGACGGTCGGATCGATCATCACCTGACCATCAGAGAGTGTATGTACCCTAAAATCCACTTTTGAGACAAATTACCCAGTCGATTTGGTTTTCATACCCAAGGGCTAAAATAAACCCGCGTTTACCAGCTTACATGCAGCAACGTGGTCATCAAATGGAGCGCCATAATTCCTTTCCCCGTTTTCGTAGCACCTTCCCAACTCAACATACTTACCGTTTAACGAGTATCAGTTAATACAGGCATTCAAGCAATGAAATGCTCCACTTCGTATTTGCTCTGAAGGAATGCTACCACACTATAAAATGAATACCAATCGGAATATTCCACTTTCTCTATTCCCGACTAATCAACCAGAGCACTTGACCGTAGTTAGTTTGACATACTTTTGGTGACCTTGAAAAAATTCTCTCTTCTAGGACTACTGAT